ATTTGGACGTTTGATTGGCCTCTCACGACAGACGTCTTCTTCCATTGGCTGTACGTGCTCCCGCTGTGTGTGCCGGGCGGTGATAGGGAAGTGTCCAGGGTGTAGGATGCGGAGGGCAGCCGGGATGTCGGAGGAGATCAGTAGATCGGTGCTCTGTGTGCGGGAGAAGGTGAAGGCGGGCCGCTGCCAGGAGAGCTCAGGTGAGGGGGGGGCTATCGGCCGATAAAGGAGGTGCGATCCCTCCATATACAGTGCGTTCAGATCTGTCTATCATCGTATTAAGAGATCGTACCGCCACCGTACAATCTGATCGTACCGCCTCCATGCACCCTACAATCTGATCGTACCGCCTCCATGCACCCTACAATCTGATTGTACCGCCTCCATGCACCGTACAATCTGATCGTACCGCCTCCATGCACCGTACAATCTGATCGTACCGCCTCCATGCAGCGTACAATCTGATCGTACCGCCTCCATGCACCCTACAATCTGATCGTACCGCCTCCATGCACCCTACAATCTGATCGTACCGCCTCCATGCACCCTACAATCTGATCGTACCGCCTCCATGCACCCCTACAATCTGATCGTACCGCCTCCTCCATGCACCCTACAATCTGACGTACCGCCTCCATGCACCGTACAATCTGATCGTACCGCCTCCATGCACGTACAATCTGATCGTACTGCCTCCATGCACCCTACAATCTGATCGTACCGCCTCCATGCACCCTACAATCTGATCGTACCGCCTCCATGCACCGTTCAATCTGATCGTACCGCCACCATGCACCGTACAATCTGATCGTACCGCCTCCATGCACCGTACAATCTGATCGTACCGCCGCCGTACAATCTGATCGTACCGCCTCCATGCACCGTCAATCTGATCGTACCGCCTCCATGCACCGTCCAATCTGATCGTACCGCCTCCATGCACCGTCAATCTGATCGTACCGCCTCCATGCACCGTCCAATCTGATCGTACCGCCTCCATGCACCGTTCAATCTGATCGTACCGCCTCCATGCACCGTACAATCTGATCGTACCGCCTCCATGCCAAAGGGGGGTCCTACAAAGTATTGACTCGGGGGGGGGGGCGAATACAATTTCACAGATTTATTGAGCTCAGACAATGTTGGAAACCATTTCCGCCTCCTTCCACTACACAATTATGTGCAACTTTGTGTCGGTCCATCACATCCAATCCCTTAGATTACATTGTAAACATGACAACATGGGGGGGATACATTGTAACATGACAACATGGGGGGGGGGATACATTGTAACATGACACATGGGGGGGGGGATACATTGTAACATGACAACATGGGGGGTTTACATTGTAACATGACAACATGGGGGGGGGATACATTGTAACATGACAACATGGGGGGGATACATTGTAACAAATGGGGGGGGGGGGGATACATTGTAACATGACAACATGGGGGGGGAACATTGTAACATGACAACATGGGGGGGATACATTGTAACATGACAACATGGGGGGGGATACATTGTAACATGACAACATGGGGGGGAGAGAGGGGAGGGGAATACATTGTAACATGACAACATGGGGGGTACATTTCAGGGGGGGAGGGGGAGCAGGGAATACATTGTAACATGACAACATGGGGGGACATTTCGGGGGGGGGGGATACATTGAAGCATGAACATGGGGGACATTTCAGGGGATCAGGGGGAAGAGGGGAATACATTGTAACGGGGAAATGAAACATGGGGGACATTTCAGGGGGGGAGGGGATACATTGTAACATGACAACAGGGGGGGAATTCAGGGGGGAATGGGAGAAACATTGTAACATGACAACATGGGGGACATTTCAGGGGGAGGGGGGATACATTGTAACATCATGAGTGGGAACATGGGTGGGGAACAAGGGGGAGGGATAATTGTAAGCATGACGGACATGGGGGGGGGATACATTGTAACATGACATCATGGGGGACATTTCGGGGGGGGGGGAATACATTGTAACATGACAACATGGGGGGACATTTCAGGGGGGGGAGGGGGATACATTGTAACATGACAACATGGGGGACATTTCAGGGGGGGGGGGATACATTGTAACATGACAACATGGGGGACATTTCAGGGGGGGAGGGGGATACATTGTAACATGACAACATGGGGGACATTTCGGGGGGGAGGGGAATGCATTGTAACATGACAACATGGGGGACATTTCAGGGGGGAGGGGAATACATTGTAACATGACAACATGGGGGACATTTCGGGGGGGGAGGGGAATGCATTGTAACATGACAACATGGGGGACATTTCAGGGGGAGGGGAATACATTGAACATGACGACATGGGGGGGGGGATACATTGTAACATGACAACATGGGGGACATTTCTGGGGGGGGGGGGGGATACATTGTAACATGAATGGGGGACATTTCGTATGGGGGGGGAATACATTGTAACATGACAACATGGGGGACATTTCGGGGGGGAGGGGAATACATTGTAACATGACAACATGGGGGACATTTCGGGGGGGAGGGGAATACATTTTAACATGACAACTGGGGGACATTTCAGGGGGGGGGGGAATACATTGTAACATGACAACATGGGGGGACATTTCAGGGGGGGGGGGAATACATTGTAACATGACAACATGGGGGGCATTTCGGGGGGGGGAGGGGAATACATTGTAACATGACAACATGGGGGACATTTCAGGGGGGAGGGGAATACATTGTAACATGACAACATGGGGGACATTTCGGGGGGGGGGGGGGGATATACATTGTAATGTAACATGACAACATGGGGGACATTTCAGGGGGGGGAGGGGGAATACATTGTAACATGACAACATGGGGGACATTTCAGGGGGGGGGGAGGGGAATACATTGTAACATGACAACATGGGGGGCATTTCAGGGGAGTAATACATTGTAAAATGGACATGACAATAGGGGGGGCCTTTCTTCAGGGGGGAGGGGAATACATTGTAACATGACAACATGGGGGACATTTTCAGGGGGGGAGGGGGAATACATTGTAACATGACGACATGGGGGACATTTCGGGGGGGGGGATACATTGTAACATGACAACATGGGGGACATTTCAGGGGGGGGAGGGGGAATACATTGTAAAGACATGACGACATGGGGGGGGATACATTGTAACATGACGACATGGGGGGGGGGATACATTGTAACATGACATCATGGGGGACATTTCAGGGGGGAGGGGGCCATTGTAACATGACGACATGGGGAGGATACATTGTAACATGACAACATGGGGGACATTTCGGGGGGGGGGGGGAATACATTGTAACATGTAACATGACAACATGGGGGGGACATTTCAGGGGGAGGGGGATACATTGTAACATGACGACATGGGGGGGGATACATTGTAACATGACAACATGGGGGACATTTCAGAGGGGGGAGGGGAATACATTGTAACATGACAACATGGGGGACATTTCAGGGGGGGAGGGGGATACATTGTAACATGACATCTTCATGGGGGGGGATACATTGTAACATGACATCATGGGGGACATTTCGGGGGGGGGGATACATTGTAACATGACAACATGGGGGACATTTCAGGGGGAGGGGAATACATTGTAACATGACAACATGGGGGACATTTCAGGGGGAGGGGGATACATTGTAACATGACAACATGGGGACATTTCAGGGGGGAGGGGGATACATTGTAACATGACATCATGGGGGGGGGGGGGATACATTGTAACATGACATCATGGGGGACATTTCGGGGGGGGGATACATTGTAACATGACATCATGGGGGACATTTCGGGGGGGGGATACATTGTAACATGACAACATGGGGGACATTTCAGGGGGGAGGGGAATACATTGTAACATGACAACATGGGGGACATTTCAGGGGGGGAGGGGAATACATTGTAACATGACATCATGGGGGACATTTCGGGGGGGGGATACATTGTAACATGACGACATGGGGGACATTTCAGGGGGGGGGGATACATTGTAACATGACAACATGGGGGGGGGATACATTTCGGGGGGGGGGGGGGGGAATACATTGTAACATGACAACATGGGGGACATTTCGGGGGGGGGGGGGGGAATACATTGTAACATGACAACATGGGGGGGGGATACATTTCGGGGGGGAGGGGGGAATACATTGTAACATGACAACATGGGGGGGGGGGGGGATACATTGTAATATGACAACATGGGGGGGCATTTCAGGGGGGGGGGGAATACATTGTAACATGACAACATGGGGGACATTTCAGGGGGGAGGGGGATACATTGTGACATGACAACATGGGGGGCATTTCAGGGGGGAGGGGGGAATACATTGTAACATGACAACATGGGGGGGGGGGGGATACATTGTAACATGACAACATGGGGGACATTTCAGGGGGGAGGGGGATACATTGTAACATGACAGCATGGGGGACATTTCAGGGGGGAGGGGAATACATTGTAACATGACGACATGGGGGACATTTCAGGGGGGAGGGGGAATACATTGTAACATGACGACATGGGGGCATTTCAGGGGGGAGGGGGGATACATTGTAACATGACAACATGGGGGACATTTCAGGGGGGAGGGGGACATTTCAGGGGGGGGGGAGGACTTCTTCAAGGCACTGTAGGTGTGAACCAAGCCTGATGAGGGGGGAGGGGAACCTCTTATGTGATAGGGGGGACATTTGATGCAATGGGGAGACCTCTGACATGAAGGGGTCCTCTGATGTGATAGGAACCTGATTGGGGGGGACCTGTGATTGGGGGGACCTTTGATTGGGGGGGGGGAGGCCCTGTGATGGGGGGGATCTGTGATGTGAAGTTTTTGTCATCAGGTCAGTGGTCTCCGATGATGAGGGACATGTATCTCAGTCTTCTCTCTTCTCCTCCAGACTCTCCCTTCGGTGTCGCCCCGGCTGGTGGCGGTCAGTAAGACGAAGCCGGCTGACATGGTGATTGAAGCCTACAGACACGGACAGAGATATTTCGGGGAGAATTATGTAAGTTTCTGTATATTGGGGCTCCCCTACACACAGGTTCCCTCCATTCCATCTCAGCCGGGGATCCCAGACTGTCCAGAACAAAGTCAGACATCACATCCAGTATGTGACCTCCATGTCCACCTCCATCCTTCCTCCATCTTCTGACCTCCATGTCCACCTCCATCCTTCCTCCATCTTCTGACCTCCATGTCCACCTCCATCCTTCCTCCATCTTCTGACCTCCATGTCCACCTCCATCCTTCCTCCATCTTCTGACCTCCATGTCCACCTCCATCCTTCCTCCATCTTCTGACCTCCATGTCCACCTCCATCCTTCCTCCATCTTCTGACCTCCATGTCCACCTCCATCCTTCCTCCATCTTCTGACCTCCATGTCCACCTCTATCCTTCCTCCATCTTCTGACCTCGTTACTCGTCATCCTGGATAGAAGTAGAAGTGCGTCTGCCGATGTCTACCCAGATCTGGTCCGTAAACGTGGATCTGGATGCAAACTTACTGTGTTCAGTCCCATGAATGTGAACAGAACTGGCTATGGTTGGATAGGGAGGGATGTTGGTTGGATAGGGAGGGATGTTTGTCTGGATAGGGAGGGATGTTGTCTGGATAGGGAGGGGTGTTGTCTGGATAGGAAGGGGTGTTGTCTGGATAGGGAGGGGTGTTGTCTGGATAGGGAGGGGTGTTGTCTGGATAGGGAGGGGTGTTGGTTGGATAAATGGACTTCCAGAATATCTGTGTAAAAGGAGCCCAAAGAGGATCCCTTGTTTGGAAGAAATGTGTGAAGAGCCAACCAGAGGACACAGAATCCGTATTCCCTTTAGGGTGATCTCTCCCTGTTACTGACCATAGCTTGTTCTCAGCAGGCGGCCATCTTGGCAGAGTAGCGGGGCTTTGCTCATTCATCTCAGAGCCGTCACCTGCTAGCGGGGGATCTTCTCCTCCCTGCTGGTAAAATTTTGAAAAAATTCCACCTTGTGTGGCTCCGCCCACCCGGCCTACATCATTCATTTACAGTATTCTTTGAATGAGAAACATACAAGTCCCATCATATACTCCTCCATCATATACTCCTCCATCATATACTCCTCCATCATATACTCCTCCATCATATACTCCTCCATCATATTACTCCTCCATCATATACTCCTCCAACATATACTCCTCCATCATATACTCCTCCATCATATACTCCTCCATCATAACTCCTCCATCATTATTACTCCTCCATCATATACTCCTCCATCATATACTCCTCCACCATATACTCCTCCACCATATACTCCTCCACCATATACTCCTCCACCATATACTCCTCCACCATATACTCCTCCACCATATACTCCTCCACCATATACTCCTCCACCATATACTCCTCCACCATATACTCCTCCACCATATACTCCTCCACCATATACTCCTCCACCATATACTCCTCCACCATATACTCCTCCACCATATACTCCTCCACCATATACTCCTCCACCATATACTCCTCCACCATATACTCCTCCGTCCTCCTCCACCATATACTCCTCTGTCCTCCTCCACCATATACTCCTCCTCCGTCCTCCTCCACCATATACTCCTCCACCGTATACTCCTCCACCGTATACTCCTCCACCGTATACTCCTCCACCGTATACTCCACCATATACTCCTCCACCATATACACCTCCGTCCTCCTCCATCATATACACCTCCGTCCTCCTCCATCATATACTCCTCCGGTCCATATACTCCTCCACCATATACACCTCCGTCCTCCTCCATCATATACTCCTCCGTCCTCCACCACCATATACTCCTCCACCATATACTCCTCCACCATATACTCCTCCACCATATACTCCTCCACCATATACTCCTCCACCATATACTCCTCCACCATATACTCCTCCACCATATACTCCTCCACCATATACTCCTCCACCATATACTCCTCCACCATATACTCCTCCATCATATACTCCTCCATCATGTACTCCACCATATACTCCTCCGTCCTCCTCCACCATATACTCCTCCACCATATACTCCTCCGTCCTCCTCCACCCATATACTCCTCCACCATATACCCCCTCCGTCCTCCTCCACCATATACTCCTCCACCATATACTCCTCCACCATATACTCCTCCACCATATACTCCTCCGTCCTCCTCCATCATATACTCCTCCATCATATACTCCTCCATCATATACTCCTCCATCATATACTCCTCCATCATATACTCCTCCATCATATACTCCTCCATCATATACTCCTCCATAATATACTCCTCCGTCCTCCTCCACCATATAATCCTCCACCCCAGGACTCTTCTGTCCACCTCCACCATATACTCCTCGTCCTCCTCCACCATATACTCCTCGTCCTCCTCCACCATATACTCCTCCATCATATACTCCTCGTCCTCCTCACCATATACTCCTCCGTCATATATTCCTCTGTCCACCTCCGTCATATACTCCTCTGTCCACCTCCGTCATATATTCCTCTGTCCTCCTCCGTCATATATTCCTCTGTCCACCTCCGTCATATATTCCTCTGTCCACCTCCGTCATATATTCCTCTGTCCACCTCCGTCATATATTCCTCTGTCCACCTCCGTCATATACTCCTCTGTCCACCTCCGTCATATATTCCTCTGTCCACCTCCGTCATATACTCCTCTGTCCACCTCCGTCATATATTCCTCTGTCCACCTCCGTCATATACTCCTCTGTCCACCTCCGTCATATATTCCTCTGTCCACCTCCGTCATATATTCCTCTGTCCACCTCCGTCATATACTCCTCTGTCCACCTCCGTCATATATTCCTCTGTCCACCTCCGTCATATATTCCTCTGTCCACCTCCGTCATATACTCCTCTGTCCACCTCCGTCATATACTCCTCCGTCCATCACCGTCATGTACTCCTCCATCATGTACTTCTCCGTCCACCTCCATCATATACTCCTCCATCCACCGCCACCATCTTATCCTCTGTCCACCTCCACCGTATACTCCTGGGGGGGGGGGGTTTTATCCATTCATTTTTTTTTCGATGCATCTATGGTCAGGTCGGTCTATTACCCATTCAGCTCTCTGTTGCCCCGTCACTAGAGGACCATTTATACGTTCTGCTCCGGAGCCAAAACTTCCAGATACTTTTACAAGAAAAAACTGTTTTTCCTTCCAGGTCCAGGAATTGGTGGAAAAAGCCTCCAACGCCAATGTGAGTTTTATTTATTTTCTTTTTTTCTGTTGTAATTTCTATATCATAGTAATCTGTGTTCCCGTGCTGCACGCCTGTCCGTGTTGTTCTCTAGTCTGTTGTCTGTGTTGCAGTCGGATTCCAGGTCTGGATATTTTCTCATCCTTGCACTGGGCCAGCTTGGCTCTCGTATTCTGTGAGCCTCACTCACTGCAGAGTTCATTCTCTTTAACCACCTCCCATCCGGCCCGTGTATATAAACGGCCTCCCCGCCCCCTGCTTGTGAGTGCTCCCTGGGAGCACGCAGCAGCACCGCGATCCGGTGCCCGCTGTGTCCTCAGGACACAGTGGAACACCGATCGTTGTACGGGACCTCTGTGTGAGGTCCCTATCGTGATCACTGATTGGCCAGTCATTGATCACATGAATAGTAGTAAGAAACATGTCACTTCTGACATCACTGCTTACTACGTGTGAAATCTGTGAATAATCACAGAGATCACATGGTACAGGACTATTCACAACAGCCTTCACAAGCTGTGACCAATCACAGCTCACACAGTATTTCTCAATGGCTGCAGGAATGCAGCCAGAGAGAAGGAGAAATGCTTTTACAGCCTTTATGGGTGTAAAGAAAATCAATGTGAAAAAATAAAAAAAAAATCATCACCCCCCACAAGTAGTACAGTGTCACCATGGTGACACCATACTGCTAGGGTGACAGTATGTAAAAAAATTAAAAAAAAAACAAATAATATAAAAATGTAAAAAAAAGTTTAAAAATGATAATTTTGGTTATAAACTAATTTGGGTTATTTTTTTTTTTTACTAGAAAGATAGCAGAGTACATTTTGGCCAAGATTTATGATGAAATATTATTTATTTGCAAAAATTTTATAAGAAAAAACACTTTTTTTTTTTCAAAATTTTTGTACTTTTTCATTTACATAGCAAAAAAAAAAAAAAAAAAAATCCCAGCGGGGTGAATAAATACCACCAAAATAAAGCTTTATCTGTCTCAAAAAAAATGCTAAAAAATTTATATGGGTACAGTGTTGCATGACCCGCAATTGTCATTCAAAGGGTGATAGCGCTGAAAGCTGAAAATTGGCCTGGACTGGAAGGGGGTTGAAAGTGTCCGAACTGGAAGGGGGGGAAAGTGTCCGGACTGGAAGGGGGGGAAAGTGTCCGGACTGGAAGGGGGGAAAGTGTCCGGACTGGAAGGGGGGGGGAAAAGTGTCCGGACTGGAAGGGGGGAAAGTGTCCCAGACTGGAAGGGGGGGAAAGTGTCCGGACTGGAAGGGGGGGGGAAGTGTCCGGACTGGAAGGGGGGTGATAGTGTCCGGACTGGAAGGGGGGAAAAGTGTCCGGACTGGAAGGGGGGGAAAGGGTCCGACTGGAAGGGGGTGAAAGTGTCCGGACTGGAAGGGGGGTAAAGTGTCCGGACTGGAAGGGGGGGAAAGTCGTCCGGACTGGAAGGGGGGTGAAAGTGTCCGGACTGGAAGGGGGGGGGAAGTGTCCGGACTGGAAGGGGGGGGGTGGAAGGCGTCCGGACTGGAAGGGGGGTGAAAGCGTCCGGACTGGAAGGGGGTGAAAGCGCCGGACTGGAAGGGGGGTGAAAGAGTCCGGACTGGAAGGGGGGGGAAAGCGTCCGGACTGGAAGGGGGGGGAAAGCGTCCGGACTGGAAGGGGGGGAAAGCGTCCGGACTGGAAGGGGGGGGAAAGTGTCCGGACTGGAAGGGGGGGAAAGCGTCCGGACTGGAAGGGGTTAAGGCAGAAGACATGTGATTCCTCTCTCATTGATTCCCATCTTGTGCTCCTTCCACAGAGGGCTGTGACATGGAATCCAACCCAACAGGACTCACATAGTCAGAGCAGTCCAAGCTGCCCCTATGACTGAGGTCACCCAAAGACTTGGAGCCGCATTGGGCAGAAGGGGGTTAGCCTTAGATTATTACAATAATATCTTTGAAGGAGGAGTACGGGCAAAGCTCTATTGGCCATACTTCTCCTATGGGTCTCAGGCGAGCACTTAGTTCTGCACTCCCATGAGAGCCAAGCTTCACTAAGCCAGCCCAGACTGACAATAATGTCGGGATCCACCCTGATTCCTGACCGGCAGCTGGCTCGTCCTCTCAGCACCCTGTTGAGAGCCAAAGCCAGCCGTTCCCACCCCCTCCACAGCCCAGAACCCCAGTGAGGACTGGAGGGGGCAGAGCAGAGAGCTGGTGCTGTGCTCAAAGCAGACAGAGAACTGAGCGATCAGCAGTCTTCGGTGTAGAGGCGGCGGGGGACAGATGCAGCTTCGGATGGATTCTCATCTACATAGATGAAGATGAATCTTGATGTATTTTTTATCTCATACTTCTCTGTTAGAGCTGACGTTGGTCCAGCTTGGCACAATAGAAGGATTGAGAAGCCGCGGGGGAAGCTGGCCATTCACTGTAGTAGTCAGCGGTAGTACAGCGGTTGCTGCGATCCTCTAGGCTCTATGGCACACGGCTCCTCCTGCACAGTGACCACAGGGGGCCCTCAATGGGCACCGCCACCATTCATAGAACATTGTTAACAATAAATGCAAGCCGTTCTCTGATTGGACGAGGGGGAGATTAGTGAGGTCACCCCCTCCCTTGACCCCATCCAATCAGGGAATATCTTGATTTTTTTTTTTTTTTTTAAATGAGTCTATTTGCTGTTAGTAAATCCCCCCCCCCCCCCCCCCCGGTGCACACAGGAATTCATCGCTAACTTATGCATGTCTGCTTTGTTTTGTAGATTCTGTCATCCTGTCCGGATATTAAATGGCATTTCATTGGACACCTCCAGAAACATCACATCAACAAGTTGGTTGGTAAGATGTATAGGAATGGAACCGGCCAATGACTGGGAAGTGTTTGTGTTAAAGGCTGAAGGTGTACTCTATGAATGGTGGTGGAAACCTTCTGTGTGCTCCTCCCCCCCAACACTTACCTGAGCTCGATCTTGATCCAGCGATGTGCACGACAGCCTTGGCTCTACGGGGACCCTCCCCCCTCATTGGCTGATACAGCAACAGGAGGCCATTGGTTCCCACTGCTGTCAGTCGTAGCCAGTGAACCAATGAGAGAGAGGGGCGGGGCCAAGCTGCTGCTCTGTGTCTTGTAGACACACAAAGCAGCGGCTCGGGAGCAAGGACGCACCAGTGCCCCCAGAGCAAGTGCTTGCTGGGCAGGGCTGTGTTACCTGTATGTAGCCCCCCCCCCATATACAGCACCGTGTTCCAGCAGAGGGACAGGGACTTCCCATTCCACTCCCAGAATAAATCGGCACTCCCAGAGGAGTCCAACCCCCTTCCATGCGCTCTCTCCCCATCGCAGTAACTCTGAGCTCAGCAATGCTGCGACAGAGGAGCTGGTGGATCACACATGCGAAGGGTATGAGAGCTCGTTCCCGTGATGGTGGGGGTGACCAGCTGGGGGTGTCCTGACAACACAAGATGGGATGATGCCATTTCTGGGAGAAGGTACGTAAATGGAAGGCCCCCCCCCCCCCCCTAGAAATCTAATTTCCTGCTTGTGTGATTGGCTCCCTGATTTTCCCTGAATTCTGCACTTAAATACAAGTCAGATTTTGGGCATCCTCTGCATCAAAAATGACATTTTTGGTGAGATACTCCAAAATGGAAATCCCGTCTGAAGGGATGCAGACCCTGCCGCTTTGCTCATTAGAACCCTGCAGGTGCAGCCGCTGATTGGTAATGATAAAGTCGCTCCCATTCACTCTGCACACGGACACAGAGAAACAAACAGAGATTTCTTCAGAATAATAAAAGGGCAAATCTGCTACAAAGTTTGTTACAATCCCTGCAATGTACATTGATCACCCAGAGGGGGAGCCCCATCAGTGCCACCTGTCAGTTCTCATCAACGCCACATATCAGTGCCCCCGTTCCCAACAGTGCTGCCCGCCCGTTCCCAACAGTGCTGCCCATGCCCCAACCCGTTCCCAACAGTGCTGCCCGCCCGTTCCCAACAGTGCTGCCCATCCGTTCCCAACAGTGCTGCCCATCCCGTTCCCAACAGTGCTGCCCGCCCGTTCCCAACAGTGCTGCCCATCCGTTCCCTAACAGTGCTGCCCGCCCGTTCCCTACAGTGCTGCCATTAGTGCCCAACAGTGCTGCCCATCCGTTCCCAACAGTGCTGCCATCCATTCCTTTCAGTGCTGCCCATCCGTTCCTTTCAGTGCTGCCTATAGTGTGCCCGTCAGTGCTGCCTACCCGTAGTTGCCTATTAGTGCAGCATCATCAGTGCCTCCTCATTAATGCACAACTGTGAAGGAGAAAAATGTACCTGTTTGCAAAATTGTAAAATAGAAACAAAAAACCTTTTTTTTTTTTCCCCCAAAATTGTAACTTTTTTTTTTTTTTTCTGTTTATAGTGCAAACAATTAACACCCCCCCCCCCCCCAGTGGTGATTAAATACCACCAAAAGAAAGCTCTATTTGTGTGAAAAAACTATAGACATTTCATACGGGTACAGTGTTGCATGACTGCGCAATTGTCATTCAAATTGTGACAGCACTGAAAGCTGGAAATTGGGGGTGAGAGGGCACCCGGCACTGAAGGGGTTAATAATCCTTTCATTCATTGTGACGTTTCCTCCACAACACGTAATATTTCCCATCGAAAATTTCTTTCAAGAAAACATCTAATCACAAAATGTCTCCATACAACGCTCTGCGCCGGCCCGAAACATGGCCCCTCCTACGACCCGGCACGTGTTCAGGTTGTTTCTCCTCTCCCAGCCGTCCCGAACCTTCACATCCTGGAGACGGTGGACTCGGTGAAGATCGCTGACAAAGTCAATGCCTCCTGGCAGAGGAAAGGGTCCGGCGAGAGGCTGAAGGTCATGGTGCAAGTCAATACCAGCGATGAAGAAAGTAATTATTCCTCCAGATTTCTACTTTATTATTTCTTTTATTTATGTGTTTTGTTTTCAAGGCTCCCAGATCCCTGATAATCCCGGATTGTTTTCCAGGTAAACACGGCCTGTCCCCGTCTGGAACGGTAGATCTAGTGAAACACATCAAGGGGAATTGTCCTGGTTTGGAGTTTGTGGGGCTCATGACCATCGGAAGCTTTGGCCACGACCTCACCCGGGGCCCCAATCCGGACTTCCAGGTATCTACTGTGTCTGAGTTGGAGGATGATATTGTATTGTATTATTTATTTCAGGTACATATATAGGACCATCAGTTTACACCGCGCTTTACATATATATTGTACATTCACATCAGTCCCCGCCCCCGAGGAGCGTACAATCTAAGGTCCCTAACTCACATTCATACATACACATACTAGGGACAATATAGACAGGTGGCAAGTCACCTATCAGCATGTCTTGGGAAGTGTCGGAGGAAAGCGGAGTACCAAGAGGAAACCCACGCAGGCACAGGGAGAACATGCAAACTCCAGGCTGGTGGTGCCGTGGTTGGGATTCAAACCAACGACCCGAGTACTGCCAGGTGGAAGTGCTAACCATTTAGCCACTGTGCTGCTTAGTGTATTTCAGGGCTCAACAAATCCCAGGTGCAAGGTCGCCATGGCGACTAGAAATGGCGTCTTCACACCTGGGTTCACACACTGCCTCCCATTGACTTCAATGCCAAATCGCGTCCCATTGACTTCCATGCCAAATCGCGTCCCAGGGGTGGGAGGGGCGTGCAACCAACTTGCTGCTTTGGGTTTTTTCACAACCGTTTGAGAGAATTTCCTGCATTTTGGAGAGATTTTATTTCACTTCCTTGTTTATAAATGGCAGGAAATGAACAGAAAATTTCCCTCGAAAACCTTAAAAAAGGTCCAACGATTCACTACTGTATTAAAAAAAAAAACCCCTTGACTTCACCAATCCTTTATCCACTTTACTACCGCGCTACAGCCAAATGACGGTTACAGCGCGGTCGTCCGGTTCTGGGATGGCGTCCTACGATGTACTCCCAGAACGCGTGCACCCGCCGCTCTCTGTGATCATTGTGCCCTTTGGATGCAGCTGATCACATGACATGGTAAAAGGCCAATCACAGCTGATCACATGACATGGCAAAAGGCCAATCACAGCTGATCACATGACATGGCAAAAGGCCAATCACAGCTGATCACATGACATGGCAAAAAAGCCAATCACAGCTGATCACATGACATGGTAAAAAGCCAATCACAGCTGATCACATGACATGGTAAAAAGGCCAATCACAGCTGATCACATGACATGGTAAAAGGCCAATCACAGCTGATCACATGACATGGTAAAAGGCCAATCACAGCTGATCTCATGACATGGCAAAAGGCCAATCACAGCTGATCTCATGTCACGGTAAAAGGCTGATCACATGACATGGCAAAAGGCCAATCACAGCTGATCACGTCACGGTAAAAGGCCAATCACAGCTGATCACATGACACGGCAAAAGGCCAATCACAGCTGATCACATGTCACAGTAAAAGGCCAATCGCAGCTGATCACATGGCGCAGTAAAAGGCCAATCGCAGCTGATCACATGTCACAGTAAAAGGCCAATCACAGCTGATCACCATGTACATAGAGTTTCCGGTTATCGGCAGTAAATCCTCATACTGTCACAGCGCGGGGAAAGTACTGCCGGTTTTTTCACTTATTTGGATTTTTTTTAGGAATTGTATTTATTTTTATGTTTTTGACATTTTTATGTTTTTGTTATTTTATGTTTTATCACCTTTTGGGGCAATCCGTCACGTTTTTGTTAGTATATTCACATATATTGATTCATGATAGCAGCGCGACACTTTCCTTTGTTTTAGACTGCATCAGGAGAGGTGACGGGTAAATGTCTAGCCCGGCTTCACACCTATGCAGGTTGCATTTGCTGCGTTTCTGCACTTGCGTTTTTGATGCGTTTGGCATTTTTTTTTTTTTTTTTCATTTTTTTTGTTGCTAGATAGATTTTAAACGCAGCAAAAATGCTCTACATGCTTTTCTCCAGCATTCCCGTTGAAGTCTATAGATCCATAAACGCAACTTTTTGCATTGAAAAAAGTCCCCGACCCTTTCCAAAAAACACAGCGGGTGAAAACGCCGAGATGAGAACGCGTCCCATAGAAAATCATGTTAAATGGACTGTACTGCATGTCTGGAAACGCTGCGGAAAACGCTTAGGTGTGAATCTGGGGTCAGGAGGAGGGATATCCGCCAGCAAAAGGTTTTTTAGCTGAAGGCAGGGAATGCATAAAGGTAAATTAAACCTTTTGACTTTTTCGGTTTGCTTTTCAGAGGGTGTTTGACAGCCGGTGAGAAGGGGATTGTACAGTATATTGCCTCCCCACCGCCTAGTTTTATCCCTGTTATGCTGCACTACCGCTCCGCTTGTCAGATCCTGCACCCCAAGGCATGTCAACCGCCCTTTGCAGCTGTTATTTTACAGTTCGGCCTAGGAGGGTGGGAAACCCCATTTTTTACTGCCCCCACCCAACCGACCATCTGAAAGAGACCAAAGTACAGCTTTGCAGTGCTGTTGACAGGCAGCTGGGAGGTGATCTGTCATGATGAAACGCGTTGGCCAGAGGGTCTTGAAATTTTTTTTAATTACTTTCGAATGACATTCGTCGTGTCTTCAAATGTACTGATGAGCATTTTCATGCAGCTGTTTGTATGAAGATCTCCTGGTACATGGGAAGCCTTCATTTTGTTATTTAAGCCTCTGGAAATTTTTCATCTAGAACCCGGGTGTCGGGGAAACGTCCAGAAATTCGACCTGAAATCTGTCAGCATGAATTCTGTGTAACCCTTACACAGCTAGGATTAGTAAGTGGATAGGAAGGTACAGTCATGGCCAAATATCACATGGAGACATGGATGGATGGACACATGGAAGGTTGGATGTAGACATGGATGGGTAGATGGAGACATGGATGGGTAGATGGAGACATGGATGGGTAGCAAGGTTGGAGACATGGATGGGTAGGGTAGATGGAGACATGGATGGATGGACACATGGAAGGTTGGATGGAGACATGAATGGGTAAATGGAAGCATGGATGGATGGACACAGGGAAGGTTGGATGGAGACATGGAAGGTTGGATGGAAACATGGATGGAAAGTTGGATGGAGACATGGAAGGTTGGATGGAAGGATGGAGACATGTATGGGTAGATGTAGACATGGATGGATGGACACATGCAAGGTTGGATGGAGACATGAATGGGTAGATGGAGACATGGATGGATGGACACATGGAAGGTTGGATGAAGACATGAATGGGTAGATGAGAAATGGATGGATGGAGACATGGATGGATGGATGGAGACATGGATGGATGGATGGAGACATGGATGGATGGATGGAGACATGGTTGGATGGATGGAGACATGGAAGGTTGGATGAAGACATGAATGGGTAGATGAGAAATGGATGGATGGAGACATGTATGGGTAGGATGTAGACATGGATGGATGGACACATGGAAGGTTGGATGAAGACATGAATGGGTAGATGAGAAATGGATGGATGGAGACATGGATGGATGGAGACATGGATGGCTGGGGGGAGTTGCTTTGAATATTAAAAATGAATGAAATTGTGTTTTTGGTTGTGAAGCTCCGATACAGTTTTTAGTTCCACTTTACGACACGCACATTTATGAGAGAACCGTCTGTATTGCCGCAGCTGAGATGTCCCGGAATATTGGGAGCTCGTTGTATTTGATCCCTGAGCTGTACCTCTGTTCCCGGTATAAAGTGTTCCATGTTCTCCTCCATGCAGCTGCTGCTGAAACAGCGGGAAGAGGTGTGTGAGAAGCTGGGCCTTCCGGCAGAAGAGGTGGAGCTGAGTATGGGGATGTCGTCTGACTTCGAACACGCAGTAAGTGTAGACCGTACCATGAATGATGAGTTTGGGGGGGGGGGCAGCATCAAGAATGGGGGGGGTCATATATTCTCAGCAACAGACAATTCTCTGCGGCCTGTTGCTGTATAAATGTTGGATTTGTGCATCGTGTCCGACTTCTCTGTACTTTGTCACTATTCAGGCAACTATTCATCTTCCCGTCCCTCTCATGGCTCCAGCTCCTTGCAGTCTCCTTTTTGCTCTCTGCCTAATTTTACCTAAAAAAAAAAAAAATTAAATCAGCACAAGGGCCATTACTTACCTTCCCTGAGATGTGTCCCTTGTGCTTCTGTCTTCTAGTTCAGTACAGGGGCGGACTGACCATTTGGAAACTCGGGCGCTGCCAGAGGGCCTGGGGTCAGTAGGGGGCCCCATGAGATGCCCCTGGTACCTTTTTCATAGGCTTTTTTGAGTTTGGGCAAGGACACAGGGGCCCCATGATCCCCTATTGCCCGGGGGCCCCATGAGTTGTCAGTCCGCCCTGGTTCTGTTGAAATCATCCTCCTCCGATGGCCCCCACTGTTGTAATCTTCCGGTGCAGCGGGAGTTAATAGAACTAAGGAGCTGTCTTGGGCACTGAAATGCCCAACTATGGCCGCTCTTTCCACCCTCCTCCTCCATTCATAGAAGCCAGGATTGCAGCTTCTATGAATGAAACATGATATACAGCGGGGAAAATAATGATTTGATCCTACAGATTTGGTAAGTTTGCCCACTTACAAAGAAATGAGGGGTCTACAATTCTTATCATGGGTGTATTTTAAATGATAGAGACAGAATATCAACCAAAAATCCAGGAAAAACATGATACAAATGTTATAAATGGAGTCGAAATTGAGTGAGTCAAATAAGTATTTGATCCCCCACCAACCAACAATGATTCTGGCTCCCACAGACTGGCTCTGTGCTGATGTGGTACACAGATCAGTCCTCTGAAGGTAAGAAGGCGCTCCTAACGACTACTCGTTATGTGTATAAAAGACTCCCGTCCACAGAATCTCTTTCTTCCATTCAAACCTCACCACCACCATGGGCAAGACCAAAGAGCTGTCAAAGAACATCAGGGACAAGACTGTAGACCTGCACAAGGCTGGAATGGGCTACAAGACCATCAGCAAGAAGCTTGGTGAGAAGGCGACAACTGCTGGAGCGATTATTCAGAAATGGAAGAAATCCAAAATAACCATCAATCGCCCTCCTCGGTCTGGAGCTCCATGCAAAACTTCACCTCATGGGGTTGAGGATGATCATGAGAAAAATGAGGGATCAGCCCAGAACTACACGGGAGGAGCTTGTGAATGGTCTCAAGGCAGTTGGAACCACAGTCACCAAACAAACCATTGGTAACACAATACGCCGCCATGGATTGAAATTCCGGAAGGGCCCGCAAAGTCCCCTTCTCTAGAAGGCACATGTCCAGGCCTGTCTGAAGTTGGCCAATAAACATCTAAATGATTCAGAGAAGGATCAGGAGAAAGTGCTGTGGTCAGATGAGACCAAAATTGAGCTCTTTTTGGCATTAACTCGACTCGCTGTGTTTGGAGGAACAAAAATGCTGACTATGACCCTAAGAACGCCGTCCCTACAGTCCAGCATGGAGGTGGAAACATGCTTTGGGGCTGTTTCTCTGCTAAAGGTGCAGGCCAGCTTTGCCGCATTGAGGGGCCAATGGACGGGGCCATGTATTGTACAATCTTGGGTGAGAACCTTCTTCCCTCATCCAGAACACTGAAGATTGGTCGTGGATTTGTCTTCCAATATGACAATTGGACAAAGAATGGCAACCGTCCCAACCTATAACCAGCCTTCGCAGTAAGGTGCCCATGGAGGGCGATGCACATCGCAAACAAAGGATTTCCCAGCAACACTTACCAGCCGGACGGCAAAAACAACCAATTTGGTTCCGTCTTACAGATTGCATTAAAAAGAGGGATTTGTTTTGAGTGCCTGTGACCGATCCTCAGTTCTGTGAACTCCTCCTGCGTCAGAACATTACAGCATTGGGGGCCAGCAGAGGAAGAAGATTACAGCATTGGGGGCCATCGGAGGAGGAAGATTACAGCTGTGGGGGGGGGGTGGGGGCCATCAGAGGAGGAAGATTACAGCACTGGGGGCCATCAGAGGAGGAAGATTACAGCACTGGGGGCCATCAGAGGAGGAAGATTACAGCATTGGGGGCCATCAGAGGAGGAAGATTACAGCATTGGGGGCCATCAGAGGAGGACGATTACAGCATTGGGGGACCATCAGAGGAGGAAGATTACAGCTGTGGGGGTCATCAGAGGAGGAAGATTACAGCATTGGGGGCCATCACAGGAGGAAGATTACAGCTGTGGGGGTGGGGGCCATCAGAGGAGGAAGATTACAGCATTGGGGGCCATCAGAGGAGGAAGATTACAGCATTGGGGGCCATCAGAGGAGGAAGATTTACAGCTGTGGGGGCCATCAGAGGAGGAAGATTACAGCATTGGGGGCCATCAGAGGAGGAAGATTATAGCATTGGGGGCCATCAGAGGAGGAAGATTACAGCATTGGGGGCCATCGGAGGAGGAAGATTACAGCATTGGGGGCCATCGGAGGAGGAAGATTACAGCATTGGGGGCCATCGGAGGAGGAAGATTACAGCATTGGGGGCCATCGGAGGAGGAAGATTATAGCATTGGGGGCCATCGGAGGAGGAAGATTACAGCACTGGGGGCCATCGGAGGAGGAAGATTACAGCATTCGGGGCCATCGGAGGAGGAAGATTACAGCATTGGGGGTCATCGGAGGAGGAAGATTACAGCATTGGGGGTCATCGGAGGAGGAAGATTACAGCATTGGGGGCCATCGGAGGAGGAAGATTACAGCATTGGGGTCATCGGAGGAGGAAGATTACAGCATTCGGGGCCATCAGAGGAGGAAGATTACAGCGGTGGGGGCCATCAGAGGAGGAAGATTACAGCATTGGGGGCCATCAGAGGAAGAAGATTACAGCATTGGGGGCCATCAGAGGAGGAAGATTATAGCATTGGGGGCCATCAGAGGAGGAAGATTACAGCATTGGGGGGCCATCAGAGGAGGAAGATTACAGCATTGGGGGCCATCAGAGGAGGAAGATTACAGCATTGGGGGCCATCAGAGGAGGAAGATTACAGCATTCGGGGCCATCAGAGGAGGAAGATTACAGCATTGGGGGCCATCAGAGGAGGAAGATTACAGCATTGGGGGCCATCAGAGGAGGAAGATGGCAGAGATGAATCAGCAGGACGAATAGAGAGGGTGAACCTCTGCAATGGAACACAGGCAGCAACAGAAACCTGACGGGGAGGGGGGGGGATCTTCTCCACTCCATTAAAAAAAAAAAAAGTTTTACCTTTTAGTTATAAACGGCTCAAATAAATGAAAGGAAGACTTTGTAATCCGAGTCGCATCCAATCAATGACACCCCCGGGATATGGATCTGGTCAGGTAAGTCGCAGAGGGGGTTGTTCATCAGTTTCAGCTGCTTTGGTGGTAATGAAATTAACAGCAGGTGCACTAGATGGGCAGCAATGAGACGACCCCCAAAGCAGGAATGGTTTTACAGGTGGAGGCCACTGACATTTTTTCCCTACTCATTTTTTCTGACTGTTTTTCACACTCATTTTGCATTTGGCTCGGGTCAGTGTCACTACTGGTAGCATGAGGCCATACCTGGACCCTACAGAGTTTGCACAGGAAGTCCAACTCCTCCAGGATGGCACATCAATACTTGTCATTGCCAGAAGGTTTGCTGTGTCTCCCAGCACAGTCTCAAGAGCATGGAGGAGATTCCAGGAGACAAGAGCATGGAGGAGATTCCAGGAGACAGGCAGTTCCTCTAGGAGAGCTGGACAGGGCTGTAGAAGGTCCTTAACCCATCAGCAGGACCGGTATCTGCTCCTTTGTGCAAGGAGGAACAGGGTGAGCCCTGCCAGAGCCCTACAAAATGACCTCCAGCAGGCCACTGGTGTGAATGTCTCTGACCAAACAATCAGAAACAGACTTCATGAGGGTGACCTGAGGGCCCGACGTCCTCTAGTGGCCCTGTGCTCTCTGCCCGGCACCATAGAGCTCGACTGGCATTTGCCATTGAACCCCAGAATTGGCAGGTCCACCACTGGCACCCTGTGCTTTTCACAGATGAGAGCAGGTTCCCCCTGAGCACATGTGACAGACATGAAAGGGTCTGGAGAAGCCGTGGAGAATGTTCTGCTGCCTGTAACATGGTTCAGCATGACCGTTTTGGTGGGGGGTCAGTGATGGTCTGGGGAGGCATCTCCATGGAGGGACACACAGACCTCTACAGGCTAGACCAGGGGTGGGCAAACTTTTTGACTTGAGGGCTGCAATGGGTTCATATATTGGACCCGGGGGCCGGACCAAGAGTAGATGAATGATGTGTATGTGTCATCCATAGTAAGTATAGTAATTTATCCCCCATATAGTAATTCATCCCCCATATAGTAATTCATCCCCCATAGTAATTCATCCCCCATATAGTAATACATCCCCCATAGTAATTCATCCCCCATATAGTAATTCATCCCCCATAGTAATTCATCCCCCATATAGTAATTCATCCCCCATAGTAATTCATCCCCCATATAGTAATTCATCCCCCATATTAAGTCCCCCCTGTGTCATTTCACTTACCTTTGCTCCGCGCGTTCCTCTCGCCGTGTTCCCGCTCCGTTCCGGTGTAGCATGAAAATCTGTCTCCTATGAGGATCTGTCCCCCTCGACGTATCTGCGCATGTGCCAGTTTTAGGCATTAGCAGCCGATCGGCGATCTCCGGCACATGCGCAGATACGTCGAGGGGGACAGATCCTCAAAGGAGACAGATTTTCATGCTACACCGGTCTTCAGGGCGGACTGTGGGAGGAGCCTAGCTCCCCTCATGTTCGTCACGCTGCCCCGCCTACACACATCCTGACAGTATCACGCTCCGCGGGCCGGATTAAAAGGTCCGCCGGGCCGTAGTTTGCCCATTGCTGGGCTAGACAATGGCACCCTGACTGCCATTAGGTATCGGGATGAAATCCTTGGACCCATTGTCAGACCCTACACTGGTGCGGTGGGTCCTGGG